TGTATGTACATACATACATACATACCTACATACATACATACATACACACATACATACATACATACATACATACATACATACACACATGCATCATATGTACATGCATGCATTCATGCATGCAAGCATGCATGCGTACGCACATACCAAAACTAATATTACGTGATCTAATAGGGAACAACATACTGTAATATATCACAAATATAATCATATCATAATACGCAAAGGACATTGGTATACCATAATTTAACGAAAATGATGCAATACATACGGACATAATTATATATATATATATACATACACGCATGATAAATCTGATATAGGAAGACATACCGTAGTATAGTGTCGTAACATGATATACCGTAATATAGCAAATTGTCACTGCTTATGCAGTTGATAGCGAAGTACGATTTACGCTATCAGTATATACATATAATACATGTAACACTGTGAGGCAATGCTGAGCCCAGAGGGTATGGGTGCCCAAAAGTCCAACGCTTGCAAACATCACCGAGGCACCACCCATCGCAATGGGAGCACGCAGCTGGAAAAGAGCCGTGCCGACAGCCAGAGCTGCATCCAGGACTGCCGGCATCGTGACGGACACTCCGTTGAAGTCCCAGCAGAGTAGATCCTGTTATCCGGATTAGGGTTTAGGGTTTAGGGTTCTGGAAGTTTCTCAAACCCGGGATCTCTGTCTGGCACGGACTGGTACAGTGTCCCCGATCTAGACTTAGCCGGAGCATCGGCGCTCAAACTCATTTAGTTAGGGCTTTGGGCTCAGCTTACTTTCGCCTTGGTAGCACGAGTTGTTCTTCAGTCTTTGGCTTAGAGAAAGTGTGGCTTGGCCTCCACCGGAATGCCCTGCCGCATCAAATCCGATATTCAGGTGATGGATGAATTGAGGCTTCTTGCCCTTGCCTCGCCGGACACTATGCTGCACAGAAAGAGGATTTGGAGGTTTGAGATCTCGTTAGACGGCTTCTTTTATACATCGGCAAGGTCATTCCGAGTGCAGCTCTAAGGCCTACTTACCCTACAACCATGTTCAACTTACTATGAAGACCCAATACTAGCTATAGTTATTACTAGAGAAGGTTGACTCCCAGTACTGTGTTTTCTGGGTCGGTCCTGTACTCTCCACCGTCTCAACGGCTTCCAGGGACAGCGATCGGCACAGCGCAGAGCTAGGTCCTACCCCGACGTCCGAATCCCTCAGCTCTCTCGAGGCCATGTTGCAACCCGTGACATAGCCGACCATAAGTCACACCCTAAGGGCCTAGCTACAGTAGGTTACTCAAAATGACATGGGGGCGGTGGGCTTTGCATAGGGGGATTAAAGGCAACGTGACCCACTTTGCTAGGGTTCCTAGGCATAATTTTAAATTGAGCCCCAGAAGCCCTAAACCTTGAACCCTAAACCCTAAACTCTGAACCCAAAAGCCCCAAACGGCCGTAAACCCTACCACGCCCTGAGCTCCCAAATAAACCAGCGTCCTTATCTCCCAGAAGCACCGCCACATCTAATAAGCGGGCCATGGCTTCGTTGGAGACCTCCAAACCATGCATTCGAACGCCTAATGTAGGGGCCTTACTAGTTAGAATACACTTTAGGGTACTTTATAGTATAATGATAATAATGAACCCCCAAAATAGTATTGGTAATCGTTTAAGCCCCTAGACTACGCTCTGGGCTAAGAGGTTCTAAGCGCATGAACCCAAACTTGAAACTATAGCCCGTCTGTCTAAACGAATAGTAGAACATCTATATGGGTAGTTCTCTAAAATAGAGCATCCCCTAATTTGGGAGAACTACCCATATTGTAGTCTTTGTGAACCGCTGGTCTAGACTTTCCGCTTATCGGCTTTCTCGGCTCGACCGTTCTATTTTAAGCTCACGAGTAACATGTGCCATAACATTGTTTGCACAGGATTTAAGGCATTTAAGGTATGCCTCTAATATGCAATTGTCTAGTCCAGGGCCCAGGGGTATGGAGACTAACGTATCGCGCGCGCTTATGACTGTGGGATTAATCCCAAACCCCCAACCCTAAAACCCTCAACTCTAGAATCCTAAAAAAAATCCTCAGCACTAAGCCCAAAATCCTAGACCCCAAGGAGGAGCCCGTGCAGTCGGCAAAACCTCAGCTGGGTTCCCCCTAGCAGGGGTCCTTGGGTTTGGGATTTCAGGGTTGTGGATTTAGGGTGTGCGGTTTAGGATTTACGGTTTATGGACAAGTTCCCACCTCCAGCCCCGGAAGGGAAGTGTCAGAGCGAATGGCATTGAACAAGGCTTCTGTCCTGATAGAAGGAGAAAGTGTCAAATTGTCGTATGATATCGGCTTGCGGCGTCTTCACTTGGAGCCAGCAGGGGTTTTGGCAATTTTTAAACGTCACAACAACGAAACAACATGCAAACCCGATACATCCGACAGGATCCATGCGTCTGTATACCTCACAATAAACTTCGCTCTGAAAGGATGCCCACGACGGCGAAAGGTACTCAACACAGAAATGCTTATGTGTGTATCGACACACAAACTGTACAGGATTGTATAGGTATAGATACAAAGTTTACAGTTATCTATGCAGATACAAATGCAGATGCAGACATAAATATACAGAGAGATAGAGATGCAAATAGATATGTCTCTCGAGAGAGGCATATATCTAAGCATTATAGACATTTATAGATATACAGACACATGGACCTTGAATGCAGGATTACATATGTAATTGGGCCTCTGATCATTTCACAAACGAAAAGCCGGCTGTTTGTGTCTGGGCTGGAAGGGTACGCACTACAGGGACCTGACCAGTTCGAATAGGCTTCGGGGTATATGACACCCGAAATAGATTAAGGAACCTTCAGGAATATGGTTGCTAATCACTTATTATCATGATCATTGTTACTCATGTTATTGATATTACTATTCTAATTATTATGGTTATTGTGGTTATTGACAATATTGGCAATTAATTTCTCCAGGCCCGGAAACCCTAAACCCAAAGCCCTTCGGTTTCAGAGTCCAAGGGGCAAAGGAAAGAGCTCCAGGTCTGAAGCTGTGAGGGAGGCCTCGTAGAGGTCTGCGTCCCAGTCTGGCATCCACACGTCATTGTCCTCTTCTCGGCTTCAGGGTTTCCGGTTTAGGGTTTAGGGTGATTTCTGTACGGTGATAAGTACTCTTTTTCGGGGGGAAAGAGGCAGTGGCGTGGCTTTCGGTCTCATATAAGTAACACCAGCGACTATTTGGAGCCTCTGTTGCCAAGCCGAGAAGCCAGCCCAGTTACCCACGGAGTAGGTTGCAGTCTTCGGGGTTGGCCATGACATGGACAACTGGGTTTCTAAACAGCTCATAGGCCGACACCATGTATGCTTGAGTCTTACAGCTTTCTGTGATCTCGAAGATACCGAAAGGTTGCAGATTCAATGGCCAAGTCTCCAGAGGGAAGCCCCAAGAGCAGGCGCTGCAGCTTTGCCAGCTGCCACGTGGACACCTGCAACCCTTCCAGGATCCCCACGACCAGGTTTCGCTTGAAAGGCCCTTCAGGTCATCCCATTCAAGTCGGCATCCCTTGACCCCGTGCTCAAGCAGCGCAAGGGCCGTGCTGTCCAGGCCGAACTCTAAACAAAGGTTGAAGAGGTGTCGACCTTCTGTCAGCTCGCTCAGGGCATCCTTCTCTCCTGCCAAGAGTGCAGATGCAACCTCAAACTCGTCAATCCCAGTAACTTTCCCACTCTCCCTGCTGAAGCGAACGAATCGCCAGGGCTCGGCTCGCTTTGGTCTTGCCGAGTTGGCTCTGGAAGTCGAGGTTCCCATGTCAGCTGAGGCAGGAATGGCGCAAGATGACAGGGCGGGCCTACTCTGCAGCTGGGTCTCAGAAGGACGGCATGCATCAACTGTTCTCGTAGCTTGGTGGATATGTGCCGCTGCAGACCGAGGCTTGAGCCCAAGAACCTTACACCATAAACCCTAAACCCTAGACTCCTAGACCCTAAACTGGCCCTAAACCCTATCCGAGACTCCAGAGCATTCGGTTGATCGGTCCCCCAGACAACGCACCTAGAAAATGGGATGCGGCAATATACGGCTTTGGGTTTAATGGTTTAGGGGCTGTCTGGCGCGAGTTGCCTGCTACATGACTAACCGCCCCACAAGCCTAAGCTGCTTCTTTGTCTTGAACATCTCGTCAAGAAGCCAGAGCGTAGTTAAGGGCCTGAATGATTTACTTCAATCCGGATATTCGTGGTTCATTACACTATAGCTATACTTGTTTTGCGTCTGGAGCTCTAAGGAATGCTTGTCTTTCTAGGCATTCAGCACTCCAAACCTCCCCAAAAAGCAGCATCCTTCTTTTAGGGTTTAGGGTTTAGGGTTTAGGGTTTAGGGGTTTAGGCTTCGCTCCGGCCTCGGGGACTTGGTCTGCAACCACCGGAATCTGCTCCTGTGCATCGAGGGACTCCGAACAAATATGACATGACTGAAAGACCGTAAACCCTACATCCAAAACGCTGATCTTCATAAGCCCTACCAAGACCCTAGAGAACCTACCTTTTTTCAGGACTGACATAAGGAAATCGTAATAGGAATCCTAAATAAAGGTAGGTTCTTTAGGGTCCAGGTAAGCCCTAGACTTCCCTAAACCCTTCCTTCACGCCCTTCGAAACTCGTGTTCCCCTCCAGGTCCCTTAACCCTAAACCCTTGAAACCCCCTAGAAAGGAAACTACAAGCGCTGAAGGCCCTAGAACTTAACGGAAACTGCAGAAACAAACACCAACACCCTTGACCTTGAGCCCTAAGCCAGAACACCTCCAACCCCTGCGCCTTTTTCTACAGAATCAGTTTTAGTCGTCTAGAAATCTGAAAAAACCCTGATAGATCACTGAAAAAACCCGCTGAAAACGCACTATGCAACCCAGATACCCCCAAACCCTCAGCAACTCAAAGCCCTAAAAGATGTTAACCCCAAAACATACCCTGGGAATCTGTTATTGATCCTAATCAATACTTGTGAGTGCATATTGATTTTGGAGTCAAATCAATTATTTATTCTATGATCCGAGGCGCCCAAAATCAATATCAAATTATACTTATTTTCGCCATAAAATCAATATATTTCCACGGTTCACGAAGCCTTCAAATCAATATAAACTCAATTCTGCTTAACTCTGATCAAGCCTGGTTAATTCTGATTAATTCTGATTGACCCTGATTAATTCTGATTAACTCTGATTAACCTCTGATTAGTTCTGATTATCTCTGATCAAGCAGGCTTTTGATCAGAGACAATGATATGTTGAAACGAAATCGAAAACAATACCCAAATCAATATCGAAATCAACTTCTAAATCAGTTAATAGAAAGAAAGCGTTTGAAATCAATATGGAGATCAATACGAGACCCATTGATTTAATCAATAAAAAACAAGCAAATCAATATCAATATAAAACATATGCATTCTATTGATTAGGATCAATATCCGATTCCCAGGGTATCCAACCCCAACTCCCAAACAACCGCAAACCCGGAAGCAGTGCATAATGTGGGGGCCTTGAGAATTAGACTCGGGTTTTGGGGGGTCCACAATACTATAACTATGATAAGGAGACCCCCCCAAAAATAGTATTTGTAATCATTTAGGCCCCTACATTTCCTATAGTCTCCATTGTAGTTCCTTTTTCTGGTTTAACCAAGTATATATATATATAAGGATTTTAAAAAAGCATTCCCCAAAAAAGAACTACAATGGAGACCACAGGTATATAGAGCTTTTCGCGCTTCTACACAACCCGAAGCAGGCCTGGGCCTCGCTGAGATCCTCCTCCACCTTCGCGAACTGTCGAGTCGGCTCCTCTTGGGGGCTTCGGAACACTCAGTTTTTCTTGGGGCTTAGGGGTTCAGGGGGTTTAGGACTTTAGGGCCTAGGGGTTTAGGGGTTTAGGGTTTAGGGGTTGAGGGGTTTAGGGATTTAGGGCTTATAGGGTTTAGGGTCATAGTGTCGTGAACCCCCAAAAAAAGTTGGAACATGGACCCGGGAGGACAAGTGCTGGGATTCCCTCAACTTTAACTTGAGGGTATGATGATATGCGGGGACGGGCTTTAGGATTTACGGCTGCAGGCATTGGTGTCTATAAGGCTCAGGGGATTTAGGAACACTAAACCGTTTAAGCCTAGTTGTGTGGGGATTCGGGGCTTTGTTTTGACACTCGGACAAGCCTGGCAACGATCCGGGGCTTGAACCCTAAACCCTAATTCCTAACCCTAAACCCTAAACCCCTAAACCCTAAACCCTAAACCCTAAACTGGGTTTGGGAGCTCTAGCAGTATAGGGCTGGGTGGTGTAGTTCAAGGGTGCAGGGTTCCGGAGACAGTGTTTCGGTAAAACCCTAAAGCCCCAAACCCTAAAGGCCTAACCCCTAAACCCGCAAGGCCCCGAAACCCGAAGCCCCGATTCGAAAGGCCGGTACCCTGACCCCCAGGCCCTCCGCCTGAAATCCTGAAAGCCTGTGCCCGAACATCCGGTTTAGGGCTTATTAGGGTTTAGGGTTCAGGGTTTACCTTAACCCACCAGAACCGACTTCTTGGTAGGGTCGCTATCAATTCAATGTTAGGGTTTATAATAAGAACCTGCAAGAATGTGGGTTTCGGTAGGTTAAGGTAGGGCTCAGGGCCACAAACCCCAAAGCCTTGCGGTGGAAGCCCCCCAAAAAGTTGGAAACCCCCCAACCTCCTGAAGAGTAATGCATAGGGAATCCCAGCACTGACTGTCCTGAATCCGTTTTTTTGGGTTTACTACGAACCCTAAACCCGTAAACCCCAAAGCCCACAACCCTAACATTGATCAAGGCAACAGGCATGTGAAGGTTTTGGGTGTGTGGACACCGGCTCAGATTTCATGTAGTCGGCTTAAAAAATTCCTAGTACTGTTCCTTTGGGTTCTTAAACCTTCGTACAAGTACTAAACCCACAAACGCTAAGGTCCCTATGTTGGGATTCAGAGTGCGTGTAGGAGAGGAACTCAGCAACATGCAGCTGCTTGGGTCAAGGTTCGTGCCACCGAGAGCACGGTCTAGTGCGCTATAGGGTATAGTTTCAAGAGTTGCAGGGTTTCGAAGTGACTCCCTCCACGCCCTTAGGGTTAAGACTTCTAGGGTGTATAGTTTGCGATGTTTGGGTTTAGAAGTCCTTAGCCGACCGGCTTGGGTAGAGTACTCGGTATGCTGCGACCCACAATTGGCATCCTCTGGTGCCTGCTCCTTGTTTGAAGATGAGGGGGGTAACCCTAAACCCTAAACCCTAAGCCCTAAACCGATGAGGGGGGTACTATACTTCTAAGGTGGGTACTCTTATGATCTAAGCTGTTGGGTTCTGTGTCGGAGTCTGAGTCTTCGGGCTGTTCGGTTGTATGGTTGCCCTAAGGCCCTAAGGCCCTAAACCCTAAACCCTAAACCCCAAAGCCTAAAGGTCTAAACCCTAAACCCTAAACCCTAAAGCCCTCAAGCCCTAAAGCCCTAAACCAGGCAGCCCAACGTCCTAGAGGCCCATGAGGCTTGAAACGCTCGTGGTGTAGTCATTGCCTAAACCTTGCAAGAGCTTATAGCAAATGCGAGGGTGTAGGGTTTAGGGCTTAGGGCAAACCCAAAAAAGTTGGAAACCGTATGAAGGACAACTAGTGCTGGGATTGCTGATACATTACCCTTAGGGATTGAAGCTATTGGGTTTCCAAGTTTGAGGCTTCTACTGTAACATCCTAAACCTGTTTTCAGAACCTCTTCGCCCCACTTTGTCGGGGAAGTCCGGATATGTCAAGAGTAAGGAGGGTTCAGCAACTTTTTTTGATCACCGGAAAAGCCTACACCCCGACCCATGCTGAACCCGTTGCCACACTTGCCTGAGCAGAATCGAAGAGCCTGTGCCAACTTCAGCACGAACGAGTCCTGAAACGCCAGACCCAGATACCCTCCTCCGCCAGCCCGAACTCCAGGTCCAGCACCCAGGCCCTAATCCGTAGCCGTGACTCTAAACCCCAAACCCCAAACCCTAAACCCAAAGTCTGGATCAGGCTAACCCTAAACCCTAAATCCTAAACCCTAAACCCTAAACCCAAAACCCAAAACCCTAACCGTAAACCTCTGAGCTTTCAGTCCGATACGCCTTGATAAGAAGAGGTCGCTTCTTCCCGCGGTCGCAGCATCTGGAGCCGCCAGCGAGGGCCAGGGAGTGCCTCGTCTTAGTAGGGATCCTTAAAAAGTGATCTATAAGGGCTTCTATATGGAAATATTATTCGTAACAGTAATGATGATGATAATACGAAGTTAAAAATGGTAATACGCAGTAGCAACGATACTTGTAATACTTGTACGTCAAAGTGAAGTTTAGGGCTTGGGGTTTGGAGTTCAGTAGTCAGAGTTGTGGTTTTGCAAAACGTTTTATGATTTTTCGGCGCTGGTGATGACTGGGGTAGCTCCGGGCTTTCTCTGAAGGTTTATCCTTTCGGGTTGCTTCACAAGGTTTTCGATGGGGTGCATTGGTTCAAGATGTGGTCCCGGTTTTGCGTGCACAGTTTGGTGCTGTTCTTGGCTGCTAGTTTTTCGTTGGCTTTCCGGTTCAAGCTGTCCTGAACTTGCAAGCCTGAGCCCTTTGCTATACCCTAGCAGCCCTAAACCCTAAACCCTAAACCCTAAACCCTAAGCCCCGCAACCCCAGACCCCCAGACGCAACATGCGAGGTAGAGTCGAAGAAAGGCCGCCCCCTCTATGGAGCCAGCTGGACCCCGGAGCCTTCTATGTGGGGGACGTGTTGGACTTCAAAGTCCGGGTTTTAGGGTTTCGGTAGAGGTTTAGGATTATGTGGGTGTGCATCAGGGTTTGAAGCGTCAGTGCTTCGATTTCAAGTAATTTTTTGGAGTTCTCATGGGTTTTGAAGGCTTTGAGTTACATAGGGTTACCGTGTGTCGGGTTGGAGAGTGCAGGGTTGGGGGGTTCAGCTTTGAACCCTCAACTTTAGACCCTAAGCTGAAACCCAACTACAGCCGACGACCTGATGCTAAACCCGAAAAACCCTAAGCCCTGAACCCTAAGACGTACATAGCCAGAGAGAGCTTCGCAGGTTCTGGAATCTTAGAGGCATGGCCGCGAGCACAAGAGCTCTCTCAGAATCAGGTTCGTGATGAAACACAGTACGATTGTTTGTTGATACTACTACTACTACTACTACTACTACTACTACTACTACTTGTGTCTGCGTGTGCCGTTGGTTGGGTTTCGGCCTTGACCTAAGGGTGTCTAGGGTTTAGGGTTTAGGTTTAGGTTTTTCAGCTCTTTGCGGCTCGGGTATCAACAGTACCAGGCTGGTCGATTCTTCTGACTGCGTGCACATCCCACACTTTCTGCCGAGTGCAAAGACAGTTCGGCTGGCACATAGCTGGACCTTCCGGGTGATGTTTTTACCCGAAATCCTAAAGCAGAAAAGCCACTGCCCGTCAGCCTCGACCCTATAACTAACCGCTATAGCCCCTTCGCTCTTAACCCTAAACCCTACACCCCTAAACCGCAAACCCCTAAATCCTAAACCCCCAACTGCGCTTCTTTGCGTTGAACCACGAGTCCCTCCAGGTTTTTTGGGGGGCCGTGTGGTCAGGCTCAAAGGCACAGCTGCTTCAGCGACATCGTAGTAGTAGTAGTAGTAGTAGTAGTAGTAGTAGTAGTAGTACTAGTAGTAGTAGTAGTTGTAGTAGTAGTAGTAGTTGTTGTTGTAGTTGTGGTTGTTGTAGTTGTAGTTGTAGTTGTAGTTGTAGTTGTTGTAGTTGTAGTTGTAGTTGTAGTTGTAGTTGTAGTTGTAGTTGTAGTTGTAGTTGTAGTTGTAGTTGTAGTTGTAGTAGTAGTAGTTGTTGTTGTTGTTGTTGTTGTTGTTGTTGTTGTT